AACTATTATTTATAATTCATTATAATACTATAATATTAAAAAATTCACCGCTTCACTCAAAATCTAAAAAAAAAAAAATACTAAACAAACAAATATTTCTTTCAAATTTTAATAAAAATATAAAATGTATTATAGTATACATCAGTACCATAGGCACTAGGGTCATGTACCCCTCTTCCTGATTTTTTTTAATGCTATTTTTGTCCTCGGTAGGTGTGTTTAGTGTATTATAGAAATACCTAATATTATCAATAAAATAAAATGTGAATTTTTGATAAATAATTTGTTTTATTTAATGCTGTCGCGATCACTGTCATTTAATGATACTTGTTTGTTATCGCCTCCACAATCCAACTGTGTACAATTTATCAACTCATCATCAGACAACATAACGATTGCAATTTAAAATTTTGTTATTCGAGATCGACATTTCTCTTTGTCTCAAATTGTATGAATAAGTAAGTTAGTTTAGACTCTAGTGTATCCACGGGGATCTAAATATAGAAAAAATATTATAATATTTGTAGTTGTATTTTATTATACATAAAAACATAATCACGTATATAATTATTTTTTCGATTAGTCTTTTTATTTTATGTATAATTTCAAGTGTGTACCAATTTTACAAATGGTATAAATTTATTTTAAAATATAGCTAAAAATTGATTTTAATGAGTCATTTTCTTTAATATTTTATACACTCATTACATTTTTACAGTTAAAACATATCGTTAAAATAAATAAAATGTAAGACGTTTAAGGGTGTTAATGAAATTGTATAATTTTTTTGTTTTTATTCATGCGTGTACCTACTTATGAAATATTAATTAATATCATATGACTATATTATAAGGTACAGGAAATTATAAACAGTAAACTTATTATTTAACAGTATTTTGTAAAGGTATTTAAGAAATACGTAATATCATAGTAAAACGAACGATCACCTAGTGACGGGCAGTGACAGTGTGACACATATTATTCGACGTGATAATAACAGATTTTTAAGATCCTACAGTAATTTTGTTTTAATTTAAGTTATTTGTTGAATATTATTACAAATAAAATAAACGATAAATATGCATATTGTATATTCAAAAAAAGCCCAATTAAGTAAAAATAAATTTAAAATTAACGCCTTGATCATTCACATCTTACTTGTTAACCATTACACATAATTAGTTATTGGTATCTACTCGTTCTAAATTAGGTATTAAATTTGATTATTTTCTGTTAATTATATATATTGGCGTTAAGTGTGAAAAGTAGTATTCCAATTGGTTTTATTTCGATATAGTTCATATAATTTCATAATATTAATAATATAAAACGTTAAAAAAAAATATGATTACAACATAATAAAAATAACTATTAAAAGTATAAAAAACTGGGCAAGGCGAGCCTGTTAGGCCTGCTCCTTAAAGGCGCCACTGCCGTCTCACGCATATAAACAAAACAAAGAACACTATTGTGGTATATTGATAAAATGATATTCAAAATTTATTTTAAATAATATATTGATTACACCCATAGGCACAGTAATTAATTACTATACACTTTAAAGCCTGTAATAAAATAAGTTGTTGAACATTCTTTTATGAAGTTTAATTGAAATATACTTTTAGAACATAGCAAATATATTTCAACATATGATTAGTTAAAAATTAATTACAATTACTTTAAATAGTTAATATAGCCTGTATAATTAAATGCAACCATCTATCGATGATAAATTTAAGATAATTGACTCGTTAATTAAACTGTACGTCTATAAATTGTTCAGTAGTTATAAGTAACATATTTTTAAAGAAACCATACGTCCTCATATTTTAATAATAACAATATTAAGTTTATATTTTATACAAACCCTGTAGTCACGTATTTGTATTAATACGAAAATTAAAATATTATTGAAATTAAGTATAATCCAAATTTCAAAACCAACCATGGATAAGATGTATTATATTATTTTTTTTTGTTATATACTCGTACGTTTTTAAACATTTTGTACAGTTAATACTAACAGTCAAATATTTATGAAAACCATAATAAATTATCTATTCAACATTAACATATTATGAGGTCCGAATACACTGTTTCTATAAATCAATATCATTAAAAGTTGTTAAAGTCTAGTCACCTTTCGTCTGCTTTGATTGTTTTGACCTGAATGTATTTAATATATTGAAGCATTACATAAGCCCACTTAGGAAAAAAAGTTTCGTGTTACTAAAATTAATATAAACTATAATAGTTAATAGTTACAATTTATGAAAACATGTGTATATTTACTTTATAGAAAATTTTATAATGCGCACGAATCAGTATAAATCATTTAGGTATGTTATTACTTTATTAGGTATAAAATATTTCAGATTCCGAGCGGAAAGAGTGACATATTGATTTTACAGTTACACATTTTTTCTTTCAATAATTAAGCACGGATGGCATAGAATGGTATAACACGTTTTATAAAGAGGTGGTTGTACGTGTAGTTTACGAAAAAATAATAGAAAGAGGACTGTGGAAAACGTATAAGTTTTGTAAGCACCTACCACTCGTAGATTTGAATAAAACTGGAAAAACCTTACTCCTTACGTCTCACTATTTGTATTTCACGCGTATTTTGATGTATAGTAGAATATATTATATCTACAGGTTACGTATGGATTATAATTTATAAGTTAAAACTTTAAACTATACACGTACACAATATTTTTTAATAATTATTATTTATAATAATAATTGATTATTTGAATTAAAACACATGTAAACATCATTATAAGTAATAACAACTATAAAATAATTATAATAATATATTTTAAAATTATGAATTATGACAGTTCATAATTTCTACTTAAATTGATTAAGTTAAAAATATATTCTAAAACACCGAAAAGTAATCACAGTTTTTAATTAGTTTTAAGCAATGTATATTTATCACGGTCAGCATGTATAGAATTACCTACAAATTTTTAAAAAATAAAAATCGTATTGATAACCAATAACTAAAACTATGAACTAAGATAATATTTAATTTGTAGTCCTAACTTTAAAATATATGTATTTATCGACATAAAAATTATTAACCAAAGTCATGTCTTTAAGAGAACGTAGTTAACGTTTTTATACAGGGAATAGAGAGACAAAAATAGTTAATTTATTTTTATTTTAACAATGTTTAAACTTAAGCATTTGATATAAGAGTGGGATTGTACATTTTTTATTTCAATTTTTTTCGTTTTAATATTTTACCGATATAAATTGAAAAATCAACTTTAATTGATTGTTTTTAATATCTTAAATATAAATTAAAGATATTTAGCTATGTATAATATATATATGGTGCAATAAAATTATGGTAGATACCTAAATATAGTCATAAATCTAAAATTATTTACTATGAAGATGTGTTTTTTTTTCAAAAATCTTATTCAGCGAAGGTATAATATAGTATTAAGTTAAAAGTATATGACAATATTATAAATTAAATATTGAATTTAAATAAATAATTATACTTAAAACGAGTTGTTTTTCTAACTCCGTAGTAAATTTTAAATATAGGTACAACGTAAGTGATCAAATTATCAAAATTAAGATCACAGAATTATATATTTATAAATAGATCTGTTTGAAATAGTTTTCATCGACGTATCTCGCTATAGTTGAGATTCTATAGAACATTACTGAACAATTCACTAGACAATTCGCAATAAAATATAATATTAAAAATTGTGTTTGATATACAAACGACATAATATTATTATTATTAAGGTGACTGCCAAGTGGAAAGAAACGTTTTATGCTTTTAATGAATTCCCCTTCCTCCAGGTGTTTTCAGAAAAAATCTATACATTGTAAAACTGATAATATTTTTTCCAGCACCTTAATCTTAAAAGTCTTCACATGAAGTATGCGTTTGACACAACGGTCGGTAATTTATACAATAATGGATCTGAGATGAATACGTAATAATAAGCTTAGTCACTATGTAAGTGAATTACTCGCAGTAAAATGCCCAAAGATGGATAACGGTTGTGTCACCCAAGCGCCCAGGTATAGTTTATAGGTTTTTACAGCAATAGTTGTTTTCTTATGCATTATAAATTCATGGTTCTATTGAACAGCGGGAACATACAGTTCACCCGCGAGAGGGTTGTCAGCTCCTTGTCTCCCTCTTGAGCTCGTCGATTCACATTAGCAATGCTATCGCGGGTTGCCCAGACGCGCAAAAGGTTTTTTGTTTTTTAAAAAGGCTTTGTGGATTCAGGTCATCATATCGTAGTACCTACATAATATGTAATACGCAATATATTTATAATATATTGCGACGCGTGGATGGGCGCATGAACGTTGACCATATGCTATAAAAAACGATATATTATCGAACACAAACCACCGACGACAAGTCAAAATTATGCGCTCCGAACTCGACGCTTACGTCACGCCAACCAAGTCACCGAGGGACACGACTTACGGGGGCGGGTGAACGACAGACCATACTTTCCACGACACGTGTTTTGGACGCGTATTGTAGACGCGCATATACGGATAGTTTGTGGACAATAATCAGATGTAAGTGATATTGCTTGCGCTGGAGATTAATTATTTTATTTATGAACCGCAACGGTTTTATATGAAATGCGAGACCGCAGTATTAACGATTATTATCGTCGTCATCGCAATATCAACTGCGATGCGCCATCAAGTCGCAGTCGCACCTAACGACACTGCTTTAACTATAAAATATATTATGACAACATCAAACAATAATAAATAATTCGAAATCATCATAAAAGACCTTCGCGTGTTCATCGTCGATAACGCTAGAACAAAATAACAACAACAATACCAACTTGCCGCCGGGACCGGCCACGGAGTCGGGTACGCGGCGGATAGGCGGAAGTGGAATATATTATTTAAAAAAAAAAAAAACAAATAGCCGTGTTGTAAATAACACGGAATCGCACACGGACTACAGTCGGGCGCGCGAGCATTACCTGTACCGCGGGTGTGCGTGTGTCCGGAGCACTGAGCAGCCGGTCGGCCACTGCCACTGACGGTGCCACTGCCGCCGCCACCACCGCCGTCGTCGTCACCACCGTCGCTGCCACTACTGCCGCCGACGCCGCGTCCGCGGTCGCCGTTGCCGTGGCCGTGTCCGGGCGCCGTGCGAGTCCTGCACCGGTGGTTTTCACGTCAGACCTCTGCAGCACAGACTGCAGCAGCTGTCGGTCCGTCCACGCCGGTTGCTGCCGTATGACATGTCTGCTGGCGGCCGGCTGCAGTCGTGTCGGACTGTCGGAGGACTGCTTACGGGGTACGGGCGGCGACGCGAAACGCACACACCGTGTGTGGTGCGACGGTATGTGGCCAGGCCGTATTGTGCGGGTGGCGCCGCTGCCAACGCCGCGAAACGCCGTGCGGACGCGCTACGCCGCGACCCACCACCCGCCGTCACGAGGCACCCACCCACGCGGCAATTCAGCCCCCCGGATCGATGGGGTTCTGCGGTCGTCGCTAGAGTTCGCGTCGCACGCTCGATCGCTACAGCTCGCTCCACCGCCCGCCGGCTCGACGACGCCTCGCGTCCCGGCTGTCCTACCTTCAGGACGTCGTCGGGACCGCGCCGCGCCTGCATGTGGAGGTCCAGTGTGGCCAACCGCACGGCGTTGGCCACACGGCCACACGGTATAAAAGTATCGTGTCTTGGCGCCATTATTACGATTATTATTCGTCGCAGTGCACGCGTTGCACGGCGCGCGCGTTTGCCATTTGGCAAGAATCCGACGGCGGCGGTCTGCGCATTTGCGTGTGCTCTTGGCAGCCTTTCGATGCACCGATGTCCGCCGACCCGTGCGTGGCGACAAATTTTTAAGTTCCATCGATGCACACAAATTATACTTTTGGATCCGATTGCCGTCAAAACGCATATATGCAATCATTATTTTCTTCTTCGTTGTCGGCCTATACGATTGATGCGAATAATATTGTCCCGAAATGTAACCTACAGTAAATTCAGGTGTCGTTAAATTATTTTCAACGTCTGTACAGAATATACTAAACCTTTTATAATATTATTATTAATTGTTGGTTTAAATAACACTAGTCGGGTATGTGGTATAAAATCTCTACGCAATATTAAAATAATAGCAGCGATCATCATATCATTACAATTGGTGTGTATTTATAATTTTTATGTTTTTGGTGGGCTGCACGAAGACGCATTATTATTGATGTGGCTCACTAATTCGGAATTGTGTTACACATCTGAAAAATCTATTGATCTATAACGATATAATATTGTACTACATAAAATATTGCATTCGATAAGTTATTGGAAAAGTTCGGTGTATCCAAAAATCGTATGCCATTGAAGTTGATTTTCGCAATTTTCCGGTAAAAAAATTACTGAGAAAATAGAAAAAACGATTTGTTCGAAATACCACCTGTGTCCAGATTTTCAGCGCTATAGGTAGACAAGGTGTGTGTTTGAGGTTTCCTACCACCCTAAGTTGTATTAAACGGAAAAATGGCAAGCATGCATTGTACTATTATATAGAAAAACAATTTAGGTCTCCGCCCGCACTGCGCACTGCGATACTTTTAAGTTCCCCACTCAACGTTTCCTGTAGATACTGAGAAATATATAACACACTTTTTCATCTCCACAGTGGTTAATATTATTATTTTGGATTTAAATTTTGAACTCGGATATATAACATATGATACTTATAGTATGAAAATGAATAATTAAACCTATAAATAACAAGTATATAGGTACCTAAGTAATAACATATTCAGGTCAAGTTTTTGTTGTTAATTTGAACTTTTGTTTGTTTTTGTTTTTGTTTTTGTTATTAATATTTATTTTATAGTAGGTATAATGAGATAATTTTATTACTGCGATGTGGGTTATATTATAAATTGTTTTTTTTGTTAATCATGTGATTTGTGTAGCTAGTTTAAATTTTAAGTACTATATAGTGCAAGCTAAAATAAGTACGTTTTGATTTACTGTTTTTCAATTCACGTTTTATATTATTGATTAATATTTTTATTATCTTAGGTAACTAAAAAAATCACGAAACCACTATAGAGGATTTGGATTGATTTATGTGGTTAGATTTGTAGATAGGTTAATAAGTACATACGTTAAGTACTATTGAATAAGTCTTGTGTATGACAAACGTATTGTTAATGTTTAAAAGAACCATAGTGCAATTGATTGGTCGATTATATAAAATATCTAAGTAATTAGTAGGTAGCTGTGCAGTCTTCTATCTCATTGACGCATAGCCCTAGTATTAAAAAAAAAAGTTTAACAATAAACCACCGCCAGGGTAATGCTATAATATTGTATAATTTCAAGTTTACCTGGGTAATATCGTAATATCAACTTTATCCGATCATTGGACTTGGAAGTTATCCATAATATATGCATTATATTTACTATAATAGTTAACTTATTCATTATTATTGTATATAATATTACCATTTTATATAGTTTGTTAAATGGTTGTTGTCTTGTTGAAAATAATAATTTTTGTACTTGTTAAAATATAAGTAGAAACCTATATTTTACTTTTTACAATGTACATGTATTTGTAAAAACATTTTTCACAGTAACAACAAGGTTCGTTCCAAGGTATGCTGCAAAATTATACATTTTATAAATTGTGTACTGAATTATATAATGTCGTGTATAGTTTAAACTCTTTGGCCAGTGTGTAATACATTGTACCACTTTGACTACACTTTAGAACCATACCAAAAATTATAAAGTTCAGAAAAATTATTACTCAATACAAGCCTATGGTATCCACCACCGTCATCCACTAAAAACATGTGATGCAGATGTAATACACCAACACTTTGACATATGATTTAGTCTTTTTATTTATCTAATTTTAATAGATAAGTAAAATATGTATATATTTATGCAGTATGGACATATAATTAGATATTTTAATAAACCATTGCACAATTTTTTACAGCTGATGTCATATGCCAAGTCACATAAGAAATCTATTGATATTATCATCAGTTGTGTTTAATAAACCACGATAACACGTATTTACTGACATAAGTTGATTATTTTTGACATATTTACGAGTATATTTTACTATATAATATTTTTTTTTCAAATGAAAATTCTGTAGCTATATTTTGTTTCGATGCCATTTGAAAAAACCCCTTTGACAACTTATATACATATTATATAAACAAATATTACAACATTATGTTAAATTGAATTATTTGAATAAAAAAATTGTCATTAGAAATTGCAGTTTCACTTATCAACTATCACCCACAAAAAAAAAAAAAAAACTGTCTTCATTTTTTTTTTCTTAATTATATTTAGTTTTATATCATTGTATTTTTCCTAAAATTGTAATGAAGCAAAAATTAAATAAAAAAAAATAACCATTTAGTTTTATCATAAAAAAAAAAAATAACAAATATTTTTACTATTGCTGCTTTTATTCTACATTTTAGACATTTTTTTAGATGATAACTGTTGTGAATGTACCTACTATTAGTTACCAACTATAAGAACGTCAAAATTCATAAAAAAAACAAAATGAGAATGAATACATTTTGTAGGTCGTGAGTGTTAATTAAATATGTATTATGTGTATAATTTATACAGTATAAATATTAATTGATATAACAATTAATAATATTCTGAAAGGTATGCCTGAAATAGCGAGTGGTTAGTTATTAAAACGATTTCATACATGGTATATCTGCAGAAGATAAGCAATATACATGATAAAATAATAAAAAATCAGTGTCCTCTTTCTGGTAGAAAAATAAGTTGAAAATTATGTGTATGAGAATTCGTGGTGTAAATGCTACAGAATAGCATGTAATAAAATTAACAGGCTGAATAGCTTAAAATTGGGGTATAAGTACATATATTTAATACGCTGTCAGCAATTAACACTTCAGTTAAAGATAAATTAAGGTATATGGTTTTGCAGTTTCTTAGGTATTGTACAATTTCAAATGTATCATTTAAGTAACTATAAAAAAAAAAAACCATTGACCTTAATTTATTTTTATTAACTTTTTACACTACACGCACAATTATTGAATGCAGTTTAATATAGTATATATCTGCAAATGTAGGTAATGAGTTGAGTATTAAATACATTATGTACCTATAGCACGAGTATACTATTATTAAATTAATTAAACCAGCTACTGTTTTATAATATTTAATAAAATATTATTGGTATTATAAATACTAATCAGTTTTGAGTAATTTTTATTAAAATTAGTGATGTACGGGTATTTTAGAGGAAAGTAGGCGATCGGAACTTGTATGGGTATATCAAATTTTTTAAATGGATATACTTGCATATTAACAATCATTAATTACAAATATTATGAATTTTCATAATTTTAGAAAATGTATTTTTTTATAAATGTTACTATCTCAATCGTACCCAACTAAAAAGCATTGTTTTCTGAGGATCGTGGTCATGTCTCTTGATAAAAAAATGTTTAATTTTCTTTGTTGAATTTGTTTTTTCTATTTAATTAATTTATATAGCTGTTATATATAATATATTTTTACTTCTAAAAACTTATATTTATTAAGATTTTAACTTTTAAATTTTTATTTTTGAATTTATTTCACTATAATTTTTGTAGTTAATTTAAATTAATCATCGGTTAGTGATAATTAACTTTAAACTTTGATAAATTTTAAACTTCTAATTACTTTCGTTAGAAACACAGGAAGTTAGCTAGTATGTTTGACACTGATTGTTTATAATTTTGAAAAACAATGTAATGGGAATAAAAAAGTAATTACTCAAAAATGTAATAGAAAACGATAGTTTATTGAAACTTTGAATTGTAAAATGTATTCTGTGTTTTATAAATGAGAAGTATTTTAAATATATTAATTTAGTATTTGATTTTGGTATGTTCTGCAATGCTTAAAGTTTTCAAATCACTCAAATAATATATCTTGGTCTAAAGCCAATTTTAATGCGTTGCATTGTCGCGTTAAGGAAAACAATCGTTTTAAATTTTTAGTCGTTATTGATCAATTGATTACTTGTTTAAGTGACTGGTTATAATATATTTTTTAACAGTATCGGAAATTTTATGAAACATTATTATTATTACTCATATATTTGATCGTACAAGCATGAACTTGAGTGATAGACGAATATAAATTTTCATTATTGCTGGATATTTATCAGCTTAATATAGTTTTGTTGCACAATATATAGGTACTGCACTATATAGGATAACACATTGATAATAATAGGCGCTAATTATCTTGTTATTTAGTATTAGTTTGAATTGTAAAAATTGCATATTAAGCATTTTTTCTTGCATATTTTGACTGTTTTTGCACTTTGTGCATGTTGCATGCATATTTTACAATTTAAAATGCATATAAATCCGGTCTTTAATTATAACTA